CCCCCTCTCCCGCCGCCCTCGTCCTCTTCCTTGCTCCTTTTCCGCGCCACGCACACCTTTTTGCGTTCATCATTCTACCCTCTCCGTCTTCCATACGTTGCAATATCTTTCTCTTTCTCTTTCTCATTCTAACCTTCTTCTCTCTTCCCTGCTCGTCGCTTTCGGGATCGGTCTCTTTTCAATGCTTCCCTGTTCCTACTGGTCACTGCAAAGCGGGCGGGGTATGCGAACGCCGCGATACTATGTTATGCCTGCGGACCGCGGGTCTGACATACTTTGTATGTTAATGCCACATAATGTCGGTTTTGTTCCTCTTTTCAGCATTTATTTGTTCGGCTCCTCTCGGAGGCTTTAGCAGGGGCGCGCACGAACCGTGGCTCGTACCGCGCCTCGATTGGTTCGCCTATACGGTACTACCCGGGTTAGTGTAACAGCGTTAGAAGTGAGACCGTGAAGTTACTCTGGAGTTGGGATTAGGGAAGCTTTCGTCACCTAATCAATTTTTCATTTGCCGTTGTTTTTCCAAGAACAGCGAGAAGTTTGGTTACGATTGACGATCGATAGTCGATAATCGAGAGAAACGAGTTATTTTATGACGTAAATTAAAGTTTTTATATGTTTTGCTAAATATTCACGAGAATAGTATCAATGCATAGGTGAGATTTTCCCGATGAAAATGAGTCGCTAACCGAACACGACCTTATTCAGACTATGTTTTTAAGATACCCCCCGTATGTTTTTAGCAAAAACTGATTTTCATCAGTATAACCTCAACTATTCGTTAATAATATTTTCACGAGGATATATCGAAAAATAGAAAACTTAATTTTCGTTGCAATCTACCTTATTACTTATTATTATTACGGCAGACCGAAGTAAAAAAGTTATATTAACCTGAGTGTATTTCAGGATCTGGCATCTTTTCCAAAGATGCCTAGGCGTCACCGTTGCGTGCTTATCGAAATTTATCCGAAAGTTATCGCGTCTGAGTCCGACCGACGTTTCACCTCGATGATCACCATCGATTGGTATCGATGCTCCAATGCGGCCACTTGTCGCAAGTTAAATATAGCAACTGTCTTCTTGGTGACGAATTAGAGAATAACGAATTAATTTATTTATCAGCTGTTCCTGTTATCAGAGTTCAATTCTTAATCCCTCTCTCGCGAGCTTTTCCTTCGGAATTACCCACACGTATCTCACGTCAAGATACTCTCCTCTGCTTTTTTCCCCTTTTGGGAGGAAAATACGTCAATTTAATTGCGTCTTAGTGCGCGATCCAAGGAATTAGCACATTAAGAGATTGTACTGTGGCCAACGCAACATTTCTTCGTTGCATAATTATGCAATTTGCGTAAGCCACCACGAGTTTCAGTGAAACCTAGTTTTCCGATAACGAATCTCCCGTCACAGATGATGCAAGTACATACTCGAACTTTACCGGAGAACCGACCAGTTTGCATTTCTGTCGGTAACCGCGCCCCCCCTCGCGCGGAGTTATTAACTACTTGCTTTCAATCAAACAACATCCGAGTAGCTGTAGGTAATAAACGAGTTCGAAGAAGCTTCAAATCAATTTCGATGGAGAGTAATTTAATTAGCGCGTATACGACCGTGACGAGACAATAAGCTGCAATGAGTTAATTGTTCGTACCGTTACGTCTATTAAATCGGTGTAAAATTGGAATTAACATACAGTGATGAATAAAAGCATATGCGTAAATCAGATTTTCTTACAATCCTTCATAACTCTGGGAAATGCTATATTTAATTTAATTTTAAGTATAAGTTTCAAATGCAAACTTTAACTATATAACAAGTCACGAATGTTAAGCACATATACAATAAAGAAGAATAATAAAAAAACAAAAGAGGCCTTCTTCTTTCATCGAAGGGAAAGTTCTGGTACACTTACGATTTTACAACATAAATTACCATAATACTTTTCGTTAGATTACGTTCTTTAAACAACTGGTCATCGATTGTATTAATTTTCTTATTTCCTAACTTATGTATTTTATGCTAGTTTAATCAAAGTTTATCTGATATTTTCTTTTTCTTCTCGAATCATTCCAGGTAATCAATTTTTTCGAATTTACTCAGACCTCTATAAATAAATCTGATCTGTATCGATACTTCTTTTTATCGCTGCAACATCAATCAAATTCTCTGGTGACAAGCATAAGCGCCGCTTAATCTTCGAACCGCTAAGCAACGCGTGGAATCAATAAAAAAAGGTATCCGTCATAAATTTCCCAACTGACGAATTAGCCGGTTGGTGGCGTGTTCGGTTGGCGATTACCACGACTATAGGAGCCACTAGCCACATGGCCGCGTGTAATATAGACCTGTTGGAACGCGATCCCGCGTTGACAGGTGATGCAGTCGCAGAATTGCCTCTCGCATCGAGGCGCATCTCACGGTGTTCGTGAGCAAAGTGCCTCGCCGTTGATGTTTCGCTAGCGTACAGAGCGAAACGGCAAGCGAGAGACAGAGCCAGACGACACAGGGTGGGAACAAGAAGGGGGGGGGGGGCAGAGAGCCAAAGTATCGGCGGAGCAACACAGAAGCGGCACAGGGGAACGGCAGTAGCGAGTAAACGCAAAAGCGCCCTCGCTCGGTCCCGCGCGATGCAAAGACGGGGTATAAATAAGCGGCTGTCGTTTGCGGAAGCAGAAAACGGGCAAAAGGACAGAAATAAAGAAGAAGTCGCAGAAGAAAGGGAGCCAGTGACAGAGAGAGGAATAAATAAGCCGGGCCTGGGGACAGAGCGAGAGAGGACAAGGCAAAAGTAGAGAAGGAGCCAGTAGCAACGGGCAGCAACGGTTTCACCGTCGACTCCCTCTTGCCGCTTCGACGACCAACGTCCCCGATCTACTACTTTTGCGGTGTACGACCATCCTCTGCATTGAAAACTCTCCAGCCCGTGTCCCTGCCTCTTCTCTACGAACGCGGCAGGTGTACTTCTGTCTCGTTATCCGGAAGGCCTCTTCGTCCTGGACGGCGACGCGTTGCCAGTAGAGAGGTCGTAGATCACTTCGAGGATGTTTCGAATGGATTTTAAAGGACAAGTGATTTTGTCGTGGGAGGAACGGGACGGGGGAGATCCATTTAACGATCTTTGTAACGTTAATGAATGTATTAGGGCCAGTAAATGAGAGAAAAACGAAACGTACGCTGGTTGCGTGCAGCGATTCTGCGCATGTCCACAGTACGCATGCGCGTAACCTATTATGTGAGGCTAGAAAAAAGCAAGTCGAAACGATGATTATGCATATGTGTACATCTCGTGGTGGGTATTCTTTTACTTGGTTCTATATAACAGAGAGAAAAGAAACGGTTCTTCCGGTGTTGGTGTGTTTCTAGAAATCCAGCCTCGGATCTGCCGGTATCGCGGCGGGTTATCCGCGGCCGGATCTAGATACTATTCATGCTAAGCCGCATATCTGCATACGCATCGAGACACTTTTCGAAAGCA